GTGAAAGAACAAAAGATTTACATTTAGTCATTTAAATTATCTGAACTCAATAATAACGGTATTGCACTTGGTATCACGCCATATTTGGCTGAATTTCAAGGTTGTTTGAAAGTAAAAATATGAATGGAAGCTAATGAAGAATCACCTCATGATCATTCAGACTTACAGAATTTGCATTTATTATATATTCTGAGTAAATTTTGATTTTCTCGTTGATTTCGTGGACGCTGACTAGCAGTGAGATGTTGGATGCCTACTTTATCCTATTTAGGAGTCGTCACTTGAATGTACCTGTTATCCACTGCGACACTCTAATCAATGCAGTATTCTTCGTTTCAAATTTCAACGCGTTATCCACTGGATCATTCAGGCCATGACGTAATGTTTTGTAGTTTGAAATGAAGGATACTGGGTCCGAGTATCAGTGGGAACAGCATCACTCAGGGGGAATTGCGAGTAAATCCAGCTGAACAATCCCAAATAGGACCAAATTCTGATCCTGAATTTCACTGCGAGTCATCATCCACCACATTATGCATACAATCATAGAAAAATAGGAGAAGGCTTCACTCAAGGAAAACTAACGCAGTTAAGGAGCGACTGGAGACAATCAAGAAATCTTTGTTCCTCAAATGAACACTGAAGACATGCTGTAGGAATGAAGTTACACCATTTTAGGATATACAGAGCATCACATTATTAAGTATGGCTAGGAAACTGTGTAATTTAATTTGAGAAGTCATGTGTATACTGAAATATATATGAACGATAGAAAGTACTCGAAACGTTACCAGTGTGTTTTATATCGAACGAAGTTATCTAGTGCAAATGTTGACAACTATTTCGCTCACAATGCATGAAGCAGTATAGATGTATGTAAAAAAAAGTGTTTTGTATATGTATGTTTCCTTTCTGTTTGAGCTATGTGTGGTATTTGCTGTATATTTCCTGTCATATACTCTGGATGAAGGAATCATGAGCTGGTTTAGTCCGAAAAATTTCCTAGTCTTTGTTATCCACCATCTTTCGTAGTTTGAATATATATGTCAAGTGATCCACAACAGAAAACTCGACGAAGCCTTTGAAGTGAGGACAGGGGTGAGAGAAGGCAGCCTAAAATCACCGACTCCATTATAGATAAGATTTTATTTTGATTAATCACACAGTGTTATACAGTAATATTAACTGATGACGTTTCGAGCACAAACTATTGTTCATATTGATATGATTATGAGCAATAGTTTGTGCTCGAAACGTCATCAGTTAATATTACTGTATAACACTGTGTGATTAATCAAAATAAAATCTTATCTATAATGGAGTTGTACTCTACCACAGTGCACAAGTTTTATACTTTTATCAATAAAATCACTGACGGTGATATCCTGATTGTGGATGACCGGATTATGGGGAAGAGTCAGGGGGCGCCAAAAAGTTGAAATCTCTGGGAATTTACAGGAACTCTAGGAATCCACAATTCTCGGATGATCTATGTATGTCACACACACTACAGATCTTGCGTTGGAACACACTCAAGTTTTCAGGAGAGGCTTATAGCCAAGTCAAGAGAGAGTGAAATGTAGAAGATGTAGGAGAAAACTTTAACCACCGATCCCTATCAGAGGAATACATTTAAAGGAGATCACTTCCTTCACTTATCTAGGAAGCATCGTTTCTCCAACAGAATGTCAAAACCATTCGGAATTGATATGGCAGTACAGAACTTCATCACTCTGAAGTCAGTTTGTACACCTGCTGCACTACTTAAGCAAGAAGGATGAAATTAGGATTTTCAGCATCAACGTCTTGTCATTTCTTCTACATAGGTCAGCAAGTTGGCACATCACCATAAGCATTTCCAACAGGCCAATGCAGAATTTTATCAAAAGCTGCCTTGGCTGGCTCCATATTGAAGATCAGACAGTCAGAAGGAATTAGCGACAGGTAACTATGGGAACGAACGAGCCAAGCGCCGATTGCCCAACAAACATGTTGAAGTAAACGGAAGTAGATTTGAAATGCATTGAGGAGACCGTTGAGTGATTCAACACGCCAGGTAGACCCTCGAAATGATGAAAAGTGGGAAGAGATGAGTGGCGCATCTGAAGATGACATGGAGGAGAACATGTGTGAGGGGATTAGGGATTTAAATAATCGCGAAGTCAGCTAAAGTGGAATGCAGACAAACGGATAAAATAGACATGTTCTGTTGAAACCATGTGTTCCGCTCGGAAGCAGAGGAAATAACACTAGTAATCCTGAGTTCGATACCCGTTGGTTTCTTTACAATTATGTTCAGTTCTTTGATCAAGAAAAGTCTGATGACTTATTCTACTGCTTGCTTACATATTATTTGTTGTAACCGGGATGAGTATAAGAAGCTCATTTGCAAATGACGCGATCTCTTTCGCAACGAACTTTGGAGATACGATAAACTGAAAGTTAGCTTCTGTCTCTGCGTTTATCGATTGGTCTTCGAGGTGAAATACTATAGGCATAATTAATATATGAGTAGAATGAGAGCATTATGGAAAGATACCATTCATTATTAGATGAGTTTACTGGGTTTCAAACAGTGACACACTATTAATAACCAGATGATGTCTTGAGCACATTGTATCACCCATATTCATATTATGAGGTACACCCTACTCCTTAAGCTGCTTTATATAGCTTCTTACTACCTCCCGTTTATTAATGTCATGTTTTATGTATATCCAAGACTGGTGTCGCATAATTTCTACTGCATCTGTTAGGTGTTGACTGGATGAACAGAGACTTATTGATCAGTCGTGAACAGAAGGCCTGAATATGGTGTTATCCAGATTGAGTCACAAACTAGGCGAAAACAGCTTTCCACTGGCCCTTGGTTTTCAGCCCTTCTCTGAGGGACATGGATTTATGGTGAAATCTACAATGCATTAATTAGGTATTGCCATCGTATTCATTTTACATATGTAACGCAATGGACAACAGCTTATTCTATTATTCCGCTAAACTCTTGTTTATGCATTTTGAAACTGCTTGACTTATTGACTTCTGACAGTTTTCTAGTGGTTTCATGTTACTTGGTTTCACAAGTAATTGCTTCTGATTTTATTTACTTTCTCACAATTGGCCTCCATACTTACGGTTTTCATTTTGGTAGTAACTAGGATAAGCTCAATCACATCTTTTGTAGCTACCAAAGGCTAAGTGTTGTGGTTTGGACGCTGGGAACCAATCTTTGCCTCCTACTGTATAGTAAACCAAAACTCTTTTCAGTGATGAATAGTCCAAAAGTGCCCCAGCGACAGCAAAACAACGGTTGTTTGTAATAAAATCTGTGGTATTATTTAACAATAAAAACATATCAAAACCTCAAAATTACTTCAACAGTGCTATTGTGCAGCTGTACATATCAGAGAATTCTCCAGGAGAAAGCAAGTGGTGTAGAACAAATTTAGTTAAGCGAAAATCAAGCGTAGAAAATACCTGAGAATCAAGTAGAATAACCTGAACAGATTACGATCATAAATCTGCCAGCAAGAATCATGCATCGAATCATTCCCACAGGCAGTTCAATTTCAAAATCCTAACGACAAACTGTGGCTTCATTCAGTGGATATCACATTCGTATTACGACGCATTATCGACACTATCACACAACTGCAAAGAGAAGCGTTTAAAATAGAGTATACATAAGAACAAAGACAAATAGTAAGCAATAATTCAACGGGTGATATGCGAACGTTAGAAAAGTGGAATACAGCCTAAGAGAAGAGGAGAAAGTAATCACAAAGTTGAAACATCCAAATAATCATCGATTCTGTAATTAGATCGTTCAGGAGTGATTTTCCAAACAATTATTCCATTACACACCTTTCTTCCAAGACGGTTCATTTCGTCTGCCTTGAAATAACGAAGTATTCATCATTATTTTAAAGACCTTAGGTGCTGATGAAATTCGCCTCGCAATATTTATGTGTTGTCACTATATCCATGCATTCTTTGCGTGTTAGACATTCGTGTTGATCAAATAATAGTGATGTATTCATTTGATGTAAGCTACCAAAATTCATGAATTCATTTCATACAGCTTTTTGTCAGAACTGTTGTTTGTTTAAATCTCAACTGTACTTTCAACAAATATGTCAACTTAAAACACAAATTGGATGAATGGAGTAGGCTTCAAAGTCGTTTTTTCACAATTCAAATCTAATGTCAGTGCAAATTATGGGTTATCATGGAGCACCCTAGCAATGAGCATATACACTTTTACGATTTTTCGAACAGCTTGAAAATTCGAATAGAAAATTTGTCATCATCATATCAATGTAAAGGTTGTTTTGTCCAGTCAGTAGATGGTTCGGAAATGATCCACTACAAGAGATAATTTCTGAGTTCATCCATTTTATCTTACAGATTCACTTGATGTGGAATACTGTACTTCTCTGGTTTAAAAATAACTTCATAATATTGAAATTATTAAATACTAAAAATTTCAGTACGAAAACTTTGTTTTTTTAATAATGGTGACCTTTCATATTTTGGCAGTGAACAGACTTCTCATAGTTTAAATCACTCCAGCCTGGTAGGTGAAAAATGAAGATTAAAAAGAACAATTTCCGTTAACTCATTAGCTTCATTAACACGCTTTGTGACTGATTTTGTTGACTTGATAAGCGTGAATCTGATTAAAATCATTAGTATACAGTGGAATTTTAATTATTCACCTAGTCGCTTTGTTTAATAATCTCTCACAGTTTCAGTTATCGTATTTCTACTCTGTTATTTTGTCCATTGATAAAATTATATTTGGAAAGTTAAGTATGCTGAGGTCATCACTGATCCACTTGCTTTGATATGGTTTCCAGGAAGTACATAGTAATATTCATTAAAATAAATGATCTTATATTAAACTGAGAATCTTCATTATTAATCAGGTGAGATATTTTTGCTGACTGAGTATAAAAGCGAGGTCTATGGTTAAACTCCTTCATTGACGTTGTTGAAAGAAAATGAATATTGGAGTCATGTTCAACAGAATTATGGTGCATACTGGTACTTCCTTTAAAATTCAAGATTATTCATCCCAAATTTATTTACAGTACTCCTTTATTGTGCATTGTGTTGCTGCAACGGTAATTTCACCTTCTTTATACTTTAAATTGCTAATGTTTATGTGTTTCGTAAGTTCTTCCTTTTCCGATTATATATACATATGTATGTTAAATGTGAATGTGTTATGGGAAATCGAGTCAGTGGGTACATCTAGATTCGTCTTAAACCATCCTGAACGCTACTTATTCAGCTTTTGATGACTGTTACACTGAAATGAGAGTTTTGGTATAAATAACAACTGTCACACATGCATCAAGTATGTGCCTGCTTCATCTTCTAATATAAAACTATTTTTTTAAGAGGTACTTTGAGGGGATTTGATTTTTGTTTCAAATCTCATGACCAGCTGACATCGGTTAGAGGACCTCTGGAAAACAAGGGAACACTGAACAGCTGTTCCACCCAAGTATGAGACCCTTTAGCAGCTTTCACTCTCCAGAGTTCGAATCTAGGACCTTCAAGTGAGAAGGCAAGCTCATAGACCATTCAGTCACCGTGATCTGACCTAATGGCACATGAATTCCGAGTTCTACAAATTCGTGACTTTAGCGCAACCAACAGATAGACGACTAGCTGCAAGATGACGTTGCCTGTAGGTCTACTGAGAAGTCTTGACTGGTGGGGTTCAGCTGATCGATAGTGAGGACTAATACTCGCCGATCACACTGGCTGGCGGTTGGGTTATATATACATATATCACGAAGTGGCATGAGTTGGAATTCATGGGCTAATCGCTGAATCAGGTCCCAGTGGTTTAATGGTCTATGAAATCGCCTTGTAATTTGAAGATCTTGGGCTTGGATCCGTTAGGTGTGTAGTACTGAGGAGTCCGAAACCACGAGGAAACGGCTCTCTGGTACTCTTTGGTCTTCCGAGAATTCCCTAACCAATGTTAGCTCGTGATGAATCTCGAAATAAATCTTTTACCTCACTTTATACACTGTCCCGATGATCCCATTTCATACTGAAATATTTTTAACTCAGTTGACATAATCTAAAATGCACAGTGTGATTTTATTTTGTATAAATGATATAAATGACGGAAAAAGTTGTGTAAGTAACTTGATATGATTATGAGCAACAATTTGTGCTCGAAACGTCATCAGTTAATATTACTGTGTGACTTATAAAATCGTATCTATAATGAAGTTATACTCTACCACACTGCCCAAGTTTTATACTTAAATCAATAATTTATTTTGTCAGAATTATCATCGAAGATACTTTTATGAAATGCAGTCAATGAACTTCTGTTATATTACACTGTTCTCATCAATAATACTTCGATATCGACGTAAACATGTTGAGGCTTATGGTTTCCACGGATTGACGCAATCAATACATACAACCAAAATTGCGTGGAAAGATATTGATTTATTTTTTGATTTTATTCCTTTGCATTCCGAGTGGAACATAGGGCTACAAGCTTCAGATATGAAGTTTCAGTAGCACTAATTTTTCCACGGAGTGCTGTCCCTAGCCCTAAGCCTAGCCTTCTCTCTTTGTCCGGCTTACAACCGGCTAGTGGTGGGTGAGGTGTGCGCCGGCTGAAAACAAAAGCCCGGGACACATGCATGGTCAGCGAGCATCCTACTGCTGGACCACCGACGCATATCGCAAAAAGATGAGTTACTCTAGATTCTAATTTCATTTCATTGAGGTACGAGTAGCACCTAGTGCTTCTGACTTTGAATGCTAATTAGTGCTTGTAATGTTTTCACAGAGAGGATTTGCTTATATCACTCACAAACACCTCATTCAACGGCTTTAGTACTGGCTAAAAATGTTTCACAGTGACACGACCGTGTGTAGAACTTGGACCATTGTTCAATTCAAGAAAATCTTACTGTGAAACACTAAGTCACTAGATTACCCTCCATTGTACTAAATTTAAAAAGGTGACACTCAGAAATTAAATTACCAGAAACTATTGACTTGAATCAGTACTTCTTCCATTACCATTTTCATTTTTCTCATTTATCACTTTATTCATCACAAGAAAACAACACATCGACTGATTCAACTGGAACAAATGAGTTTACTTAAATTTGTATTTTTGGTCACTATTTTGGTGCAGTTTCACGAGGATGATTGATGCCAACTGCTCTCCAGCAGATATAAGCCTGATGTGGTCTATGATGCCAGTCGTGTTGTGGTCTTCTACATTGATGAGAAAAATCAGGAACTCACTCTGAAGTGGGTGGCAGTCATCCGAGTGTATAACTCACCTGTTCACTTGGATTGCCTGAAATATCTTTCCATAGCTGATGTGTTTTCAATGCATGAGTTGTGAAACATTCTCTGTGAGGTGAGGACTGCATCATTTCTCAAGGATTTTTTAGTGTATACACCATGGAAGGAGTGCATTATGTGATGACAAGTGTCACTTGCGCCCTTTCTGAACATGGTGAGAATGCAAGCGTGAAACAGTCAGCGATCAGTATGTTGGCCCATCGATGGATGACAAAAACTGATTCAACTTTGGGAGTTCAGTTGACTTCTTCTGGTTTTTTGTGTTCACTTCTTAGTCCATAATTCCTTTCTTCTCTGCTCTCCTTTCTTTTTGTTTGCATTCTACTTTTGCTGTCATGCCAGTGTGAATATTTCTCCTTTGTAGCTGAATCTGTGAGGCAGAATAATAACCTTACGAACGCTGTTTCTCTCATTGACCCATGTAATGACTTCTATCAGTATGCCTGCTCTGATTGGGAGAATAAACACGCCATTCCAGAAGGCGAGTCAAGCATCACAAGAATGTTGGAAATCCAAGATAATACACTTCGTGACATCTGGAAAATAATTGGTAAGAAAGATATAATTCGTACTGAACTCATAATCACTATATTATTAATCTCACGGATTCCACGGAGAATATAGTGCTGCAGTAGCACATATACATCTAACCCTGTTCTATGCAATCCTTTTCAGCTGGCTATACGAACGACCATAAGCTTTCATCTCATCAGACAATCACATCCATGTGTCCTCCTGACCAACGCCCAACTCATCTTTTCGCAAACGGGTGACACTCAACGACCTTTCTGGAGAACTATTTCACTCGAGCATCTCCCCAATGTGTAGCCAGTGCATCTTCATTTTCTTTCGCACATTGATTTGTTGATAGGTTCTTTGTTGGTTCATCGCCCGCCAGAGTTCTTTGTTTCATATCCTTTCTAGCGGGCCATATAATCTTAAGTAGAGTGTAGGGATATGTGTGTTAAATGATTTTGACGAGCATATGTCAAAATACGCTTCATCCAACAAAAGAAGTAACATCTTTATGAATTAACTGATTTTCTGAGAATAGTTTGTGAGCTCACGTCACCTTTTCACTATCGTATCACAACTGTGATGATGTAAATATGAAGAATAAGTTTCCACCGAACTACCATACCGTAAGGATGCTGTTTCTTTTTGACGTCTAAGAGCTTTGCTAGTTTAAGTCAGTGGAAATAATTTCTTTACATCACATTGTAACAGAATATCAGTTGAGGTGTTAAAAATACACCAAGTAGTGAACCGTCAGCACCTGTGCACAAGAAAATTTGTCAAAGTGATTTGATATACTTCATAAAGTGTCGGTAGACGAGTCCGAATTCACCGCTGGACATTAAATGTCTCTCAGATCACAGTATCTGATATGCTTGATACTATGAGCTGTAGTCAAGAAAGCAAGCATAAATGTGTAGAACCAAATATATACTAATCATTTATTGAGATGAGTAGTTGTATACTACTCACACCAACCAGTATCGATTGCTGGCCATGCCAGATCAAGATGACGCAAACCCCAGATTGCAATTTCACTCGTTTGAGGCTGACCTCAAAATTGCTGTAACGTGTTCGCCTCAGCTCACAGGGCCGCATCAGTTCAAACCAAGTGATTTCTCGACAGCTACATGAGCGAACTGACAATACCTTAGACCAAACTCGCTAATTGCAAACTACTTCGTCCACAAATGAGCAAGAATACTGTCCGGTGTCCAGATCACTTCGGTCTGGCTACCAGTCACCACTGGTTGATGTGAGTGGTGTTCAGCTACTTATCTCAATAAATCGGTAGTATGTAGTTTTCTGAAAATGTTTCTGTTGATTTCATCAATTCAGTTATCATTTTCTGCAATCGGTAAAATATATGGAGACACATTGTGAATGACGGAATCAATGTCAGTACTCAGTGCGACGAAAAATTTGGTAATTAAGTGAATTTTTTGAAGTATAACCCTTCACTTATGTCTCTGCTTTGACAGAGCAAGTGGGAAACACGTGAAAAATAAAACTTTATTCACTCTCATTGTCAGATGCCGTCAATTATTTAGATACTGTCTATCCACCATGGTAATTGGAAAATAAACTCTTCGCTAGTGTAGAGTTTTGATGATTTCTCTAAAACACTTTATACGACTTTGCACACGAAAGTGATCAGTACAATCCATAATTCAAATCCATTTGGAATATGTGAATCCTTTGGTGATAGTCAGACTAGTTTGTCATGCAAGTGTTTGTATGTGCTAGGCTGAAGTCACTGCAGTAATGTGATGGAGTGTATGCGTGTGATTTATTTAACAGTTTCGGATTGTTTTGTCAACTAATATCAATTACACACTGATATGATTTCCTGTTTCATATTACCATATAGCTAACGAGTCGTATTCCACGAACGATACTCGGTTGACTACTGCTCGTAAATTCTACAAATCCTGTGTGAACCATGAAAATATTTCTCTCCAGCAGACTAGAAGACAGACAACTCGTTTGATAGAAAAATCATTTGGCGGGTGGGATTTGTTGCCATCTCCTCAAAATCTATCCGAAACATCAACACCAGAACCAGAAGTTGACGATTTCAGTTTAAATGATTTCTACTTTCCAATTCTGAGCATAACAGGAGGCTGTCCTTTATTTTCCATTGATATTAATGTTGGAAGCCTAGCGATTCAGGTAAGCAAGCTATATGATTAATACTAATTTGGTATTTCATGATCATACATCAACTTGAGAAAGAGTGAGAATTTAATCTACTTGCCAATTCAGAGCTATTTTCTCCTGCTATATTCACGGTATGCAAAGACACACACGATAGGTTTGCAGCTATTGTTGATTGTTAGGGTATAAGAAAGAACTGTAGATTAAGGAATACTGAAGAGTTCCGGTGGAAGCTTCATATTCGAATACTGCTGCAATGTATTAGCAGATGTCTGCAGAGTAGTACTGATGGTAATTATTAATAAGTCATCCCTCACCACAGTATCTTTCTATGCAGAATCCTCTCTTCTGACTGACGGAAACTTCTTGTGGATTCCATATGCCGACACAGATCTCTCACTCTTGGTGTTTGAATTTCCTCTGTTGGATAAAAATGACAGTGAAATAAATGATAAAGAAATGGTGACTGGGAGTGTGGTTTCATCATTTTTATTCAGTTAATCGAACATTAAGTTTGAATTAAAAACGCTGACTGCTAATTGAGCAGTTTGGGGTAATTTGGTGTCTTTTAAATATAATATAAAATTTAAAAATTTAAATACGATCGACCTCTGTTCAGGTAAAGAAATTAACAACTCAAGTATCTCGTCATTTAATGAAACCATAAACGTTTTCTGAAATTTAATTTTTCACCCTTCAGAAGACGAAAGGTTTGTCAGAGGTGAGTTGATGAACTCAAAGCGAAGCTGGGGATAGGCACAACTTTCAGAAAAACGATAGTCAGTTTCGGGGTGTTGAATGGCCTAAAATAATTTGTTTCTTTCCTACATCTTACTATTGTCAGTTTACTTAATTCTGATGCATGCCATAGCAGTTGTGAAAAAGGATAATCTTTAAAATCCGAATTGCTTTAGATTTCAGATGGAAAATTCGCTTCGTATAAGGACGCTTGTAAAACAGAGGTAATTTAAAACATTTTCATTAATTCTATGAGTACTAACCAAATAGGAATAAGAGTAACAATTTTGTGCAATAAATAATAGTTAAGTAACAATGGATCAACCAGTGTGAATGACTGGTCGGAATACTCATCACATTGCAAATTAAACATTTTTTCAAGTATTGGTTTTTTATGGATTTTGTTTGATTGGATGGAAGATTTCATCATGGGCTGACATCAGTTAGAGAACCACTGGAAAACCTGGGAGTACTGGATATCTGTTTCGTCCTAGTTTTGGACTCTTCATCAGAACGAACCCACTGGAGTTCGAACCGAGAACCTTCTGGTTACAGGGCGAACTCATAGACCACTGAGCCATTGGGTACATGCTTTCGCTTCAAATGGCATACTTATCAATTTACCAGAATTGCCGACGTAATCATGTGTCTTTTAACACAAAGAAATCTGCTGACTCATCATATATCATAAGTGTTGATGTACATACAAAAGAGGATAAATTAAAATTTCACTAAACTCAGTCTAATTTATGTACAGGGAACTATGAGTTCCTTGACTATAATGATAAATATAGTACAATTGCAATAGTAATAGCTTCATTCTGAAAAGTGCATCTATACACAATACAGAATCCTCAACACCTTTTACAGCAAGACATTTACTCCTTGTGCAGAATCTCCAAATAATGCAATAATCGATAATATATCATCTGAAACAGTATCATCCCACACGAAGCATACTCCAGTACTACCCCACAATGTTGTTCTCTCTCCTCCTCCAACAAATTCCTAGCGAGTATATACTTCAACGCATTATGATAACTGGATGATTTAAACAATATGAAACAGAGTAAATACGATGCATTATTATGGATAGAAAATTAAGCTAGTCCAGTGATGCAAACAGGCCTCATTCAGATATAACCACTTTTACTCATTTCAGTGTGAAATATCAGAAGAATACAGATTTTGAAGTGTCAAACACGTTACATAAGATCCCAGAGCTTGTTTGTCGACCAGTTTTTCTGTATGTCTCTTACGAAAATGCCTCGAAATGACGAGAGAATAGTTTTGCCTGGTGTCTTATTCAAGAGATAAGTGTTCTTGATTTCACATGGTATAAGAATTCGTGAATATTTTCATTCATAACATTTTCTCTTAACAGGTGGATGCTGCAAATATTGCTCCAAAGTATTACGAATATGCGTATAAACTGGGAGTATCTCCAACCGAGAAGAGCAAGTTGCAGGCTGCTTTTGAATTGCACACACGCTTGTGCCGTGTAAGTTTTCCGTTAACCTTGCAACATTAACATAGCTATGCATGGTGAAAATGAAATTTCGTATAAAATGTGAATTTCAGTCGGTAGTATATACGATTGCATATTCGATTAAAATGCAAGTTGTTTAGCTCGAAAAATAGCAGTGTGATGAATGTCTAAACTCACCATGAAGTAAACAAATCATCAATCAAATTTCTTGTTGAATGCTGAGTGCACTTGTTTACGCCTATCGGTATTCTGTGTAATCTGACCACCAGACTAAGTCATACGACACAAATGTGCATTACCACTGATCAGGATTTCAGATAGAAGGTTGTACGTGTCAACAGACATGAGATTCGATGTTTTTGAGCTTATTTTCTTTTCAATAAGTTCCTGCTAAAATTTAATGTATTAAGAAGCAAACTGACAATTGCATTTCCTAGATGCAAAGAAGAATTGTGTTGGGTCGAGTCCTTTTATGGCCATATTCTTCTTGAAAACAATGATAGCTTCATCATGACACATTTTATCATTACACCTTTTAAATAAGTGAAATTAAATTTATTTCCACTATGACACTCTTATTAATGTTGAAGAGTTAATGCCAACAAACTCTAGTCATAGAATGTTTGTATCCACAATTAGATGGTGAAGGAAGTTGGCATCACTTAACATTCAAGTGCCTTGTAACATGAAATCGACATGGAATACATGGGTTGATCAATGTACTTATTCCATGAATGTTGAAAACGAAGAGTATTCAACTATTTAAAACAATTAGTTCCCTTTATGAATTTAGATAAAGCAATAAGAAGACGTAATTTGTCTGGATCGTGTAATGTATTTGCGCAACACATTTCGAACAATCTGATCACACACGGACTTCTCATAGGAATATATATGAAATTAATAAAGAGGTAAGAGGTGAGAAAATAGACAAGTTGGGTCAAGTTAAAAGGACATATTCAAGGTCAAAATAACAATGAAGACCACTAAACCAAATAGCAGAGGTAATAGTACATCTGCTATGGTATCGAAACAAAATTTACCAAGGAAGGTTTAATGTGATGACGAGCTGTTTTTGAACGCATAAATGTGGCTTAAACTTTCTAATTGCTAGGGCTTCCACAAACTTTTGGATACGCCCCAATTAGAAAGTTTAAGCCACATTTATGCGTTCAAAAACAGCTCGTCATCACATTAAACCTTCCTTGGTAAATTTTGTTTCGATACCATAGCAGATGTACTATTACCTCTGCTATTTGGTTTAGTGGTCTTCATTGTTATTTTGACCTTGAATATGTCCTTTTAACTTGACCCAACTTGTCTGTTTTCTCACCTCTTACCTCTTTATTAATTTCATATATATTTCTATGAAAAGTCCGTGTGTGATCAGATTGTTCGAAATGTGTTGCGCAAATACATTACACGATTCAGACAAATTACGTCTTCTTATTGCTTTATCTAGATTCAACTATTATGAATCAAGTGGAGGGATCATACCTCATTTAATCCCATCATATTCACAATAAATACTACTGAAATGTAAAAGTGCATTGCGAACAACAGAAAGCACCGTGGCGGGATCCTCTCAAAATCTGTTTGTATACGTATTCTGAAAAGATAGTGAAGTAAGAGATTTCGTTTCACGGCCTTCACTGCTAAGCTGTTCATTCTTCTATCAAGGAAACATGATTTGAATTCATTAATGTTTCTGATAATTTTTCAGAATCTGTATTTTGCGAGGAAATCTGAACTTACTGAATATTATAAAGAAGTTAAAATGAATGAATTGAAGTCAATCTGTCCATTGGTAAGTAGGTACAGCCAATTTATACATTTCCTGTATTTCAATGTACATACTTTGATTTTTCTATATTTTACAATGCCAACTCATTGGGTAGGAATGTCATGGTCGAGGTCATTCATAGACAGAAACATTGAAATAAAAACGGCAAATTGCTGAGCCTGTCTTATGAGAGAATAAATCTCTGAAAATACATAACAAGCCATTCATTTCACAAACTGTATAGACTTCTAGCATCAGATGATCTTAATTTTGCGAATGTGGATATCAAATTGAACCGAGTGAATGGTGAACTGAGATTTGTGCAGCCAGTGTAACATGCGTATACTGAAATGCATAGTTACATTTATGTATAGGGAATTTACGTGATTCAGTGCGGAATCCACATGAAGCATGCAAGGCGATGAAGTACTCCAAGTAGAGGAATTTCAGATTTACTCGAATTTGGGTCAACTATCATTGCTGACTATCTGATTTTAAGGGAATTATAAACACCAGACAGACATGTGTGTGCTGTCAAGCCACCTACATAGGTCAGTGGTATCTGACTGTTTGCGGTTTCGGTTTCTTCAATTATTTGTGCCTGTAATGGTGTCATGCAGGTGGCGTGTTTCGATTTTGACATTCTAGATTATGTGATTCTGAGGAATCCTAGCTCATCTAAATACATTTCACTATTTCAAATGACTTCAGATAGCATATAGTGCCTTCAGTAAAAGAAATCAAATTCATCTACACCGAAAATTCATAGAAGACAAGCCAGTGTTAGGACAGAATGCATAATGGAAACAGTCAAAGTATCCTGCACTTAGTAGTCACATAGTTGATGAAAACACCTCAGGGGTAGGAAACTTTAAGTCAACTGTGAAGATTAAAACTGTTTGAGAGTATTAGAGAAATGAATCCGTGAAAACCCATATCAGTAAATGAATTTGGTAATCTGAGAAACAGTGCATAGTTGTTTCTTTAATGTCATAGCATCACAATTCTTGTCTAAACTGATAAGGAAAGCTGCTTAGAAGAATTTCAACTCGGAAATCATCTTTATCGGGACACTATATCCTGTGAATATTTCCTAGGGCACCATCGATCCAGTAATGAAACAAAATGAACTATCTAATCTAAAATCATTCTTGGGCTGAAGAAACCCTACTTGAAATTTCATTGTGTAACTTAGCACTGCTTCAATTTATATTCACTAGTTTTCTGTCAAATTTCACATAACTTTCATTAGTTCTGCTGTACTCATTTATCGTTTGTCTTTCTTTACATTCATGTTAAGATGAATTGGGAAAAGTTGTTTGCAAAATTGTTTCGACAAATTGGATTCGAATATTACAAATCATTTTCAATAATTATAGCGGACACAACAGCGCTGCAACATCAGTGTGCCTTACATGAAATTGAACTGTCAACGCCCACTGGTAAAAGGTAAGTTTCACATTACTGCCACTGAATAGGATTGAAGAAATATTTTGTTAAGACATGCTTTACTGAACAGTCTACTCCACTTACTGAAAAGTGCAATAAAATGTGTTTTGTTTAGTCTGAACTTGGTAGATATTTCCCAGCTTAAGTGAACTCTTATGTTCAAATATTTCATGCTAACTTTGGTCATGGATTGATATCGTTTAGAGAAGCAAAGAAAACCTGAGAGTATTGAACAGATGTTTGACCCTTGTTCGAGACTACTCAACAGTATGTGGCGAACAACTAGACAACTTAACAAACGCATTAATGAGCATCTTCCTACATGGTTCGGAAAAGGTCAAATAAAATCCATAAGAAGTTCTATTTTGGCTCATTTGATTGATAGCGGTCACCAAGTGGACAAAAATAGTGCCTTCAAAGTTATCTAAGGCATTCCATCAAGTCTTTCGAATGGAATCAGAACCCGTCTTTTACACCTAACCGAAGCTATGGGAATTCGAGAGAACAATCCTAGTCTTTGCATACAAAAGAAGTTTGTTCTACCTTTGTCTCTCCCTTGGCCTAGGTGAATTGTATTCAAAAGCCTCCCACCCTTTCTTATTTTCCACCTCCTTCGTACTTTCATAATATTTATTTAAACTCTGATTATCGTTCCACCTCACCTTTTAAGATTTGACCCAATTTATTTATACACTTATATACATATACTATCTTTGTTATTCTTACCACCTGCATAAACCTTATTATCAATATTTTGTTATCATGATAATCATCGTTATTAACTACGTTCAAAACATTTACCACACTATTATTACTATTATTATTATTAAGATTATTATGTGATTCCCAAAATCACCGTCATTGGTTAAAATTTTATATATAAATCTATGTAAATAAGAGTAAAGCCTGAAGAAGATCAAATTGAAAACAATATTGTTCGCTTATCTGTCTTGTCCTAATATTATAAATGGGAATATTTAAAGATTTGAAATCAACAGTATGTACCCATTGACAGGGCTCGAACTCAGAACCTTCTGCGTGCAAGCTAAGCCCGTAGACAGTTCAGCCACTGCGAACCGATTAAATAGCCAGCCAATGAATCCCAACTTCTACCAATTCGTGTTTCTAGCGCGACTGACACCAGTAGATGTTATCGACGAGTATTTGTTTTCACAAGCGATCTGACGGGGTTCAATGATTTGTTCAATTATTTCTGCAAGCGAACGCTGAATATTTTGATTTTCAATTTTACAGGATTTCCATTGTTTTCATTGGAATTTTTCAATGTAACATGAATTTGATTACCAGATATTTCCAACAAGGTTTGTTCTATCCCTCGACTGTTATCTTCATTAAGAATGTTGCGTCAACGCTCTCGGAATGGATACGTCTATGTTTCTGATTGGTTTGTATGTTACCACAGTGTGACACAATGAATTTTGTTGAATGTAAATTTCACAATTCACTTTTCTCCGAAGACCATGCTGGCTTCATTCTGTACAGCAGACGTTTTAATTTTAAAATGTATTTTGTTTACAAATATTCTAGCAGTGTGCAACGTTGTATTACCATGGAACATCACCCTCGATGAATGAGTCAGAAACAAATACGAATCCACAAAATCATTCCGACTTGATATCTTCTGTATTATTCCAGGATGTACAACCAGTTTTCATCCACACACTGAAAAGTCGAGATTTTTTGACTTCGCTACATACTTTTCCGCTGTTCAGATAAATAAGCGTATGATATTTGAAGTTATATGCAATACCATTGTAAAGTGTACAGCTGAAACTGAACCCCAATATTTACTTCTATTCCTTTTCGACAGTACAATTCAGAATATGGCTGTCATGGACTTCATGACACATCTGGCTACCACTACTGAATTTGAGGTGGAAAGTTCAGAAAGTGCAAATCCTGAGATGGACTCACGTACGTTACGACTATGGTTTTCATCTGATGATAAGTAAAGTATATCATGTTTTCAGTGGGGATTCGATTTATTTCAAGATTGATTTGTGTACATTATTCTTGAAACATGTTGTGGTAGAAGTCGATGGTGCATGTGTGATATCTTACTGACTTGTTAGTTAAAAGTCATTCGCCTAACGTGTTTCAGCTTGGCGTATATTTCAAAACATTTCTGTGTCTTGTTTTTTATTCTGATTAGGGCTGAGTCCGAAATTCTCAGTGTTTTGTATCAAACGACTGAAAGATACATTTCCATGGACTCTTGAAAAACATTACGTCGCTCAGTACTTAAAAGAAAGTCAGAGAAATGAGGTTAGTTGTTTAATTCATTTTTATTTGCTTTTTGCATCTATATAAGCCAACGTTTTCGAGATTATGTTCCTACCTAATAAAAAGCATCATGACAATCAACACTTATAACAAGTAAGCAGAAATAAGGATTTTTCTGTCCATAAGTATTCGGAGTTTACTGTTTCTAATTTACCCTCTTTATTTATTTATTGTCACATGTCAAGTGATCGCTGTGGAGTAAAGACAGTATAAAGATAAAACTGACTGCTATAACCGGTTATACTCCCAACTGTGTCTCACTGGATTGTGCAAGAGTTGGTGAGTAAAGAGCTAGAAGACAAGAATACTTTGGGCTGACATAATGATAAGAACTTCTTGGATGACTTATGTCTAATGTCAAACGAACTAGAAGCTCTACAGGAGAAAACCAACTAACTGGCAGAAGCAGTATCAAAGATATGGTTTCAAGTGGACATGGAGAAGTCGAAGGTGAAGAAGATAATCAACCAACAGCAACGAGCACCAATCAGTAATAACGAGAGAAATTTGAGGGAGTTCGCTGCCTTCACGTGTCTAGGAAGGATTGTTTCACCGAGAGACGGAATGGATTAAGTGTCAGAGCAACCACTGAAATGGCGAAGCACATCCTTCATCAATCTAAAATCAGTTTGGAAATCTGCTACTCTCCACAGCATGAAGGACGAAATTCGTATTTTCAGCACCATTGTTATGTCAGTCAGGGAGTCACTTCTTCTCCTTGCATCAGAAACTTGCTCTGCGATTCATGAGGGGAATACTTAACAGGTTACTGCAGATTTTCATCAAAAGCTGCCTTTTCTGGTTCCATATTGCAGATCATACAGCTGGCCAGAAATAATTATTGTCAAGGAAGTTTAGGAACGAACCAATCAAGAATTCGCTGCTCCACAAATATTCTGAAGAAAACAAAGATGGTTGCTAATGCAAAAGCAGATTGGTTACACCATTAAGAAACGAAAAAGGATCATCATGGTGATGAATCACAAGACATCTATTCAAAATTTGCATAAGTAAGAGAAGACGAGCAAAGTGATTTTCTAGGGCAAAGTATGAAACAGTCTTGGAGTGCTTTTAAAGAAGAGGAAGTATGGGTGGTCACAGCAGTCTGTAAATGTTGAGTGTAATCAGGTAACACGAAGATTGGATCAACATTCGTCCTCGTTATTTGAATTAAGGGAACTGTTTCTTTGTTTCACGTTTGTCATTCGACTGTCAGTCTATCCTTCAGGAGGTTCGCTCCTAGACAACACTTCTCATAGTCTTCTTTCGTTACTCGGTCGACAAACTGCCTCCTTCAAGATTGGAATGCTTGAAACAAAGAGCTATATGACAAAGGTAAACTGAGCACTAACTGACTTGTCATATCTCAAAACTTCACTAAACGTAGTGTCGCCATTTGTGGTGCATTATTATTATTGTTTCCTTTAGTTCTCAGAGGAACATAGAGCTTCAGCCACACGTCTCCATTGCGTTCGAATCTCTGCCAACGTTTTCACATGGCTACACGTCTGTCTACACGTGTTCATCTCCTCTTTGAGTGACCTCCTCCATGTCACTCCACCCTCGCAATGACGAACAACTCGCCGTTTCCTGTCCGGGTTTCACTCGACCGATGGCCTGGCGTGTGTTGTCACTTAGTGGTTTGTTTTCTCAGAGTATGGCCAATCCACCTCCATTTCTTCCTGCATATTTGTCGCATAATTGGTGCCTGCTGGGTTGGTTCGCTTCCAGAGGTCCTTGTTGCAGAACTTTTCTGGCCAGTTATCTGATTTTGAACGAAGACAGCTGTTAATGAAAGTCTGTAGTTTGTTTGAGGTGCTCTCCATAACACAATAAGTCTGTGGACCATGAAGTATCACTGATTTCACATTGGATTTGAAAATCCACATCTTGTTTTTCATGCTGAGTGCTGTTGACCTCCGCACAGACTTGAGAGAAATGAAAGCTTGCCTTGCTTTTCCGATCCTCGCTTCAATATCCTCGTCAGCTCTGTCCGCCAGTATTTGAAACGATGCTTCCCGGGTAAATATGTGAAGGAGGTTGCTTCTCTCAGATTTCTCCCATTTATGCTGGCTGATTGCTGTCTGTTGTTGTTGTTGCTGCTGCTGTTGGCCAGGATTCTTCATCACCCACCTCTGTTTTCTCTATGTTCACCTGAAGTGAAGTCCTATCTTTGATGCTTCTTTTGCCAACCTGTTGCATTTCACTTGCATATCCTCCAGTTTGTGGGAAATCAGACATATATCATTGGCGAAGTCCAGATCCTCCAAGTTCTTTGTGTGAGTCCATCTCATGCCTGTCTCCTCGCTGCCCACCACTGTCTGTCGCACTATCCAGTCTACCGCAATCAGGAAAATAATTGGAGATAGTAGGCAGCCAGCTTGTCGTATTCCCGTCTTCACTTCGACGATTCCGTGAGTTTCCCGTTGTAAATTTCTTGGCACGCAGCATTGTCGTGTGATTGTTAGATGAGATGTATAACTGTTGGCGCACCCCTCAGTAGCAGCGAAGTAGTTGTCAAATCATCTCTAGATCGACGCTGTTTGCTGGAGGCCTTTTCAAAGTAAATGAAGTTGAGCGAGGTTGAGAGCTGACTGCCATTCCAAGCTCTGTTCAATGATGATCTGTAGTGTTGCAGTTTGATCGATGCATGACTTATTCCTCCTGAATCCAGCGTGTTCCAGTCGACGTTTCACATCCAGGGCGTGTTTGGTTCTCTTGAGGATGATGCGGCTTAGCGCTTTGCTTGGGATGGACAGGAGCATAATGCCGCACTGAGTTCTTCCATTGACCTGAGTTCTCTTTCTTTGGCATTTTGAATAGATAGCTTTTCTTCTGATCCGCAGGTACCTTGCCCTCTTTCCACACCTTCTCCAGTAGTGGTGTCATCAAATCCGCTGATGTCTCTGGTTCTGTTTTCAATGCTTCTGCCGGGATTCCGCCTGGTCCTGCTGCTCCTTCAGTCTTTAGAATCTTGACTGCTTCCAGGATTTCTTTATGATCGGAGGGTCGATGTCCACTGGTAGTTCTGCTTCCGCTGTTAGTATTGTTGGGCGCTTTGTAGATGGCAGTCGACTTAGCAGTCTTTTGAAGTATTCAGACCAGTATTTCCTTCGATCCACCTCTTTGGTGATTGACTTTGCATTGTCATCTTTCACTGGCCTATTTTTTTTGATCTCTTCCCCAGTAGGAACCTAGTTGTTTGGTAGAGTGTTGCGAGGTCTCCTTTGCCTGCAGCGTGTTCTGCTTCACTTGCCATGGCTTCATAATATTTTCTTTTGTCTTCCCTGACACTCTTCTTTACTCTTTTGTTCAATGTATTGTAGCTTGCATTCAACTCCTGTTTTTGCTGCTCGTCAATGCACTGGATAATCTTTTGTTTCAACATCCCTCTCTCTTCTATTAGTCCCCATGTGTCCGTAGTGAGCTACTCTCTGTCCTGTCTCCTCTTTCTGCCTAGAACTTCCATGCAGGTTTGACTCCACACCGCTTTCAGGCTCTTCCAGTATTTTTCAACGCTGGTCTCTTTGCTAGTGTTGACTTATGTCTTCACTTTTATCCTCATGTTTGCAGTGAAGATGTCCTTTGTATCCTGGTCATACAGTCTTTGAGTATTGAACTTGGCTTTTGGTCTATCTGCAGCTCCTGTTTCTTTGAAAGCTTTTAGTTTGATTTGGATTGTCCTTTGTACGATAGAGTGGTCTGAGCCAACGTCTGCTCGTCTTCTTACTTATGTGTCCAGTAAGCTGCGTCTCTACTTCCTTGAGCAGGATTGAGATGAATTCAGTTTTGTTTTTGGTTTGCCCATCTGGTGACACTCATGTATCCTTGTGGATACTCTTGTGTTTGTATACACTGCCACCAATCACTAGTTCATTGAAGGCGCAGAAGTCGGTGGAGAGTTGTCCATTTTCATTGATTTCTCCGAAAGTGTTTCTACACATGATGAGTTCTCTTACTGTGTTGTCTGGTCTCAGTTCGGCGTTCATGTCTCACATTGGTATTTTAATTTCACCTATTGGAGTATTGTCCATTGTTGCCTGTAGTTGTCTGTAGAATTCTTCTTCCTTTTCGAGTTCCGCGTTGTTTGTGGGTGCATAGCATTGTATAACAGACACTTTCCTTCCTTTCGAGTTGAATCTAGCGGTCATTGTCCTGGGCGAGATCGCCTCCCATTGCATGAGGGCCTTCGTTGCCGTTGGTGACATCACGATAGCCACGTCCTCGGTGTTTGAGTGGTTATCTTCTGGGTGACCGGAGTAGATCACTGACTCACCCCTTGACAATTTGATGAGTCCATTCCCGTTCCATCTGCTTTCACATATTCCCAGTACTTGAATTCTGTATCTTTTCATTTCGTTTGCGATCTGGGTAGCTTTGCCAGTCTCATTCATGGTGTGGACGTTCCATGTCCCCACACAGACTTTTTCTTTTGACGCAAGGAGACTCACGATGCTGAAATTTCTGTAGCAACTTTGTTTGCAGAGTGGGGTTGCTAGCCTCACGCCTGAGAAGGGGGTTGTTACATGAATGTGCAAGTTACAGGGAAGCGACGTTTCGGGTTGCTCCCCTTAGAATCAGGAAAACAAGGAATAAAGCAATCGAAACAACACCAGCAAAAGGAAAATAATAAGAAATTCACAACAGGAAGAGTAGCGATAACAACAACAAAAGAATCCATAGCAGTAGTACCACTGTCAAGAAAACAGTTAACAAAAGTGACAGCAAAACCACAGACTCACTGACTTGGGTCAACTTGGGTATGTATAATCAACAAAACATGCAATTATAGATATTAATTAGTGTTAAACAGTCACAAAATGCCAAATAGATAGTTATAGGTATTATCAGTCAACAAGATTATATCCACAGAATTAGTGGTAGGAGGTAAAATAATTACAATAAATTCCACAACTTCCTGGCAAAAAGTGCTTGAGAAATAAGAGTTTTATTTGGTGTTCGCTTCTAATTTTTACCGAGGATATCTATAATACGGTACATGAAAGTGTTGACAAATTGTATGAAAGTGCTTCTGTTACAAGACGACCTAGAGAGCTCAGCAAATGTTAAACTTAAATTTGGCAAACTATGTTTCTTTAAGCATGAATGCCTGAAGAAATCAATCTTATTTATATGATTATGCATTCTACTGTTTCACAGCATTCTTCATCACAGTGTTGAAGTTTTTATCGAGAATTGTGCAAACATTTGTTTTGTCTCTCTTTCCTCTAAACTGACAAAGAGTAATCTCACATCTCAGTTACATAAATACCTTCATTATTTGTACTGTGTGGAGTATTCTCTTCTCACCACATTTTATCTGAATGCCATCAGTTTGTCTTCAGCTTATACTCACCTTGACAGAAGCCACAGAATAAATAAATATAAAAGTTCCTCCAAAATCATTTAGATTTGAAGAAGTGTGTTCATTTTAAACTATCAAGGTTGTGTTTTGTCTTCAACATTTATTAATTATCTATGATGAGCACTGACACTGATGATGTGAGTGAGAGTGATTGTACAATGCTCATCTGTGAATTCATGTTACGATAAATTTTGGTTATTTGAAAGATGTAAACATATTTCAACCCCTTGAAATTCCTCTCTGAAAGGTTTAATGACATTGTTTCCATACCAAAAGAATAATAATTGTTATTTTTTAATTCTTCTGGGTTTCCGGTAGAACAGAGGGGTTCAAGTTTTAGTTTTGGAGTTCACGTGATAGTGGTGTTGTGCTTTACCGGGGTGAGTTCGCTAGCCTCACCCCCAAACATCCCTCCTCACCAAACCTACTACTGGCTTAGTGACGTTCTGTAGTAAGTAAACCGAGAATCGAATCCTCGACCTCGTCAGTGATTGGCGTGTATTTCACGACCAAATCAGCAATGCACATAAAGATTATTAATTGCTAATTACTAATTAATAACAGATACAATTCGTATGCCACCCTAATTACGCTTTCTTTCTCATCTCAAAAAACAGGTTCTCAATATGATCGATGAAATCAAGAAGACTTTGTATGATTCATTTGGAGATCTGGCATGGTTGAGTGATGGAATGAAGCGCTTCATGACTGACAAGGTTTGAATTCTATTTAATTTTTCAAAAATAATAATTTTGAAAAAATAAATTTTTCAGATTTCGAAGATAAAAGCCTTCGCTTTGTTCGACGGTGTGGAAACATATGAAGAGAAAGAAAACCTTTCTGCTATATATCGAGTAAGTCGATCAAAGCAGTTCATGTTTTCTACCGCATTTTATTAAAACAAGAGCTAATCCCAATAAGCAGGTCGCAGTGGAACACCTGTTTTGCGGAGCAATATTTAATCAACGATAGACTTTATCTTATTCGTAAACAATTTGGTATATTCAGTTTGACATGAATTGTTTGGGTGAAATTCGAAATTCTAGTGGAGCACTGTTTCCTCGAACTGCCAGTCGGGCAACTTACTAACTGACGACGTGGGATGGAATAAAATACGTGTACCTGAAATTTCCAGATGACTATGAAGATATGAGTGTTTAGCTGAAGATGTAATTGTTAATTCCCGTGAAACTGATAATATCAATTGCTAATTCGTTGTGCGCCATATGCACATGCCCGTCACCTAGTTAATATACACAAACGAAACTGATTTTCCCTCAGTCTACCTCAACTAACTTCTTTTGGATTTGAACAATATATTTTGTTCAGCACACATTAAGATGATAAGGTGATACTTATTTCATGACAAAATTTAACGAAAACCGTGAAATTGAGTGAGCAAATTGTTTAGTAGTTTCCTCAATTTCATAAAGTAAAGCAACTGTAGAGCACTTCCTCCTCACTGACTAACTGACTCGATGAAAACTAAAAATACCACTGGTTATCACCGACAACTGACCCCTGAGAGACAACGTTGAAGAAAAACTTAGAAAGCAGAATTTACTATTCGTCCAGGAAGAAGGCCAGTATAATATGAAGTTACTGCCATTTATCTCGTTATTTCCAGTGATCAGTGCCTTACAAGTTAAGTGCACCAGAATGGTTTCTGACAAATCAGCATGATACGAATAAAAATTCAATGACAATACTTTCGACGTAGGCTAAGACTGGGATATAAGTAACCAGACCGTAGATGTTGCGGGCCTCCTGGAATAATTTAAGCGTCGCTCAAGATTTAACTATGATAAATTACTTTAACAGACTGGGATTATTTTAAGTAGTTTATTAGACCAGAATGTTTAGTTGACACACTGTATGTGCCTCTTCTCCGTCTTAATACGTATACACTTGGATATCTGCGAATACACGTTAATCACATTCTCACAAGTTAATCACAAATTATATCCACATTTCACTGTTTTATCTAACTTTTCAAAACAGTTACAGTATCCAATTCGTGAAAATAAATACATTGTAAATGAATATTACGCTCTCAAGGCAAACGTGCTCGACACTTACCAAAAAGCAATATTTGGTCTGGGAGCAAAGTAAGCTGTTAACATTTTAGACACATAACTGTGATTGGAAAATCTCCATTAAGCTAAATAAAAGAAGTAGCTTTCAGAGAAAGTCACTAATTTCCAGATGTATCGTTTTCAAGCTGTACAGTCGCATATATACAAGCATATATATTACATTATCATAGCAATAAAAGTAATGTTTCCAAAGATTTATCGTCCTACTTGCAAGATTTCTCACGAAAACTGTGTAACACATAGGGCAGTCACTGAGCAGAAAGCTTAGTGAAATTCGATCAGGAAGTTGGGTGATACAGCATAATATAGGGATTTTAGTACAGCTTAGCTAAAATGATCGACGCCAAGTGACATATTAAGTTGTGTTTCCTTGGGGAAGGTGAATTATTCCTTGGATGTGGAACTCCGACTGGAAGAGGCTGGATTCAGGAGGAGTAAAACATGTGCGGATCGAATTGCAACTCGACGCAGCGTCATGAAACAGAGCATATAGTGGCAGTCAGCTCTCATTCTATCTCAACTTCATCCATTTTGAAGAGGCCTTAACAAACAGCAGTGGCCGTGGAGCGATGTGGAAACCGCTTCAGCACTGTGGTGTACAGGTCCCTAGATATTGATCGGCCTCGTTCAACGGCAACATAATAATGCCGTGTGTCAGGTGTTTCACAACGGAGAACTCACGGAAGGCTCTGAATTGAAGACAGGGCTAATTAAGACCTCTCAGCACACTCACTTGTTATATTCCTCATTGTAGTGAACTGAATTATGCGAGAGTCTGTGAGTGGAGGGCGACAAGACAGGAGTCTGTTGGACAGAGAGAAGACTAAGGCAATAAAAATAATCGACTGACAACAACAACTACAACCATCATTCAGTTTCAACGGGAGACATTTGAGTGAGTCCACTGCCTCCACTTATCAAGACAGCATCCTCTCAACTACAGGCAGGAGACACGGATAAGGATGTAGAAACCAGGCACGATTTGAAAGGCGAAGCACATTTTCATCAATCTGAGTGGGTCCCAAATCTTCTACAGTAACTTGCCAGTTTTTAACAACAATTTTAGGCTAGTCGGTGGCTCTACACAGGTTGTCAAATTGTTGCTGATTTTATGGCTACTGAAGACTTCATTGAACAACTGGCATCTCTGACTTCATACTGGAGACCAGGTAGCTGGCCAGAAAAAATTATCTGCAAGCAACTGTGGGACGACGAACCAATCAAGAATCGACTGCTCTACAAATGTGTAAAAATGTAGGTGGATTTGGTACACACTGCGGAGACCATGGAATGACACTGCGTGCTAGGTAATCACTCAAGTGGATCTCAAATAGGAAACAACGAGTTGGGCAAGAATCTGAGGTTGAAGCGGAGGGGATCGTCTGAGAAGGAGATGGAATAATATGGACAATTCTGGGGCCAGCTGCAAAGGATTGGTAGGAACAGGACAAATTGGAGATCTGTCGTTGAATACTTATGTTTCACGTGGAACCCAAAGGAACAATAATATGATAATAATAGCCAAAGTTGAAGGAGAGTCAAATTGTCATCAGCCTCATGAACAGTAGAAATGTATTGGTGCGAAGGGAGAAACAGAATAAAATTTTCAAAAATGTCAAAAAATTAGGATTAGCAAACACTATGTATTAAGTGTTGAGACAAATAATTTGAGTATTTAAAATTTGGATTGTCATAGCTTCTGCAGCTTGTGTTTCTTCTGTACGATTTCCACATGCGCTGTGCATAACTCTGGGATTGGAGTGATCTAAGCGCCTGAAGACATTTTCACTTGTGTAGGACAGCACTCATCATCAGTGCACCCAATTTGACTCACCACTGAAGGCGTAGCCACCTGTATTTCTGGCTGGCCAATTGCACGGACTGGCATTAAGCAGATCACAAATGGTGGTGAGGGCAACCCCGGTTTCTGTGGGAAACTGAAGTGAAATTGCGTCCGCAACTGCATAATTTTTAAAAATGGAGGATGCTATTTGCAAATTGTGCGTCGGTGGCACAGCGGTTAGGACTCTCGCCGACCATGCACATGGTCCGGGGTTTGATGCCCTGCCGACGCACAACTGATATCTATGGTCGGACTGCAAAATTTGGTCTGCCGATATCATGTGCTGAAAATTCCATACTTGTACCAAAAATACTGTGTGGTTTCAAGCTATAATCAAAATAAATATTGCCTATCTCCTAAATTCTTTTGTATTCGTGATTTCGTCAAAAACAATGGGACTTGATGATTTTTTATTTTTGTTTTCTATGCACAGATTGGATGTGGAAAGAGCAACCTATATACCCACAGCCTCCTATTGGTCCACTGAAAACCGCATATCTATTAATGGCGCTTTGATGAATCCACCGATCTATCACGATAATCAAACTATTTTCGAAAAATATGGGGGATTGGGTTGGCACATAGCTCATGAATTATTGCATGCTATTGATACATCCGGTACTAAACGAACCGAAATGAGTTTTCAATGTAGTTGTTAACGTACCTTTGTTGTCATGTATTAAACTGATAGACAGTTTTAGGGAAAATATCCCAGATGACAGGCGAAAATTAAGTTGATTCCCTCACTCAAAGTGCTCGTATTTTCGTGATCTGGTTTCAGTGAAATTGTGGTCATCATCTCCAATGTCGTAATTTGAAACTTCGTAGAAATGTAACTTTCTGTCGAACCGCTGCAAATGTCTATTCTTTCAGATCGATTTCTCTTGGTCCCTTCACTAATATTCGTTCAGTTTCCGGGAGTGACATAAGACTTCAAGTATGACGCTTGAACCATCATAAACAGTTAGTTTACAGGGTGACTTCACTAGGCTTACATCCAACCTTTCTTCCCTACCTCACCACTAACTAGGCGAAGCTTAGGAGTGCATTGGGGTCTAGGAATCAGACTCCCACCGGGAAGGTGATTGGTGAGCCTATTACGATTGAACCACTGATAAAGCTTCGTTTTTTCATTGATTATATATTGAAAGGGAGTTGTATTAGTTCACTGAGTGCTTCACTGGAAACTTGAAGATTTCACTAGCTGTTCTCTGCATTTGTGTAACTTAGTGTTGCTCAACTGCACTCGAAAGATATGGCTGTCATATTGTCTGACTTCTTTCTCAGCCTTATATGTTGCTTATTGGTTATTATCTAAACTGAATCGTCAGAGGTACTAGAAGTGTTAATGGACATTAATAATGTTATTGTTATATTTGTTATTTGCTTAGGTTCCAAGGGGAACATAAGGTTTCAACAGCACAGAGTGTACATCTCCTTTAACTGACACCACGGTTGCCCAGATGCTTTTATCTCCTCTTCAGACAATCTCCCCAACACATCGTTTCCAATTTGCGATGCACCTGAGCGATGGCCTGGCGCACAGTACCATTCGATGGTTTGCTCAGCGTGTGTACAATGCACCTCCATTTCGTACAGAATATTTGTCATGATTGTTTCGGTGCCAAACCTCCTTGTGGCCAACTCCTCTTCACTAACCATCTCATCTTCATTATGGAGTCAGAGAAACCAGTCTTGATGAAGCACTGCGGTAACTTGTTTGAATTGCCTTTCGCGACTAGCAGAGCAAGTTTCTGATCCATGTAGAAGAACTAACTCACTGATTGACATAACATCAGTGCTGCTATAAATGCTGAGTTTAGACAGACGTTTTCAAAAATGATTTTACAGTGATGAAGAGTTGTCTTTTCTTTCGCATTCTGGCTGGTTTCGACATCCTCACCCGTTTTCCTGACCTGTAGTTAAGATGATGCTATCTAGTTATATGAAGGAAGTGACCTCTTTCAAATTTCTCCCGTCGATAGTGATTGGTGCTTGCTATTGCTGTCGGTGGATTATCCTGATTACCTTCGTCTTCTCTATATTCAGCTGAAGTCCAGTCTTTGCTGGTAGTACCTTCTACCAAACTGTTAGCTTTCAGCTGTAAGTTTTTGAATTTACGCGACATCAGACATAAATTGTCTGGGATGTCCAGATCTTTTAGAGTCTTCTTGTCAGTCTGACTTCCTCTTGTCTTCTCTCTCCTCGTTCGTAGTCTTTGGCATAATCCAGTCCACAACAGTCGGGGATATAATCGGTGAAAGCAGGTGGCAGCTTTGTCCTAATCCCATCTTCACTTCACTGGATTCCCCAAGTCCTCCATTGTGGACCACTTGATATGCAGCACTGTCATATAGCTGTTGAGCAGTCAACATGGTTCATATTTTCTCTGTTGTATTCTGATTCAATCTTTCGCACTGAATGACTTCTAAGGCACCCTGAATTAACTGCTACAATGTAGTAAAGATTCGCCTGCAAGAGAATATTCGTGCAGTGCATTCTCCCTTGTAAATCACCTTTCAGTCAATATGCTAAACAAAGTTGCTGATAATCGACACCGAATTTGAAGTGTCAAAGAAACATAAAACCATGCTAACCGTAATATTATACTATTGAACAGTATAAATCAAATAACATAAATCTAACTACATTTCACGCATATCAAGGTATACTTGTCGATGAGGATGGAAATCAAAGGCCTTACAACACATCCCACCATGAATTTCTTACACTCTTGAAGCAAACAGAATGTCTACGCAAACAATACAAAAATTACAATTATACGAGTGAAAAGGTTTGTCGTTTGTGCTAAATAAAATATTAAAATTCGTCAAATTATCTTTGTTTATGCTGTATGAACAACATATTACGTGAAGATTATGTTTTGGCATTATTATCAGAGGAAGCAGAAACACTTTGAAAGTGTTTATTCCCAGAATTTGTCTAAATCCTCGTGAATGTAGTATGTGCAAAATGGGAAAAGTTACAGAGTATCTCAATTTAATCTTCTCTATTGTTCAGTTTTGCGGAAACAAATCGATCAGTCTATTTCATAGATATTTTCCTTGATGATATTTCCTAATCATTATTCCATACATATGACCAGAGTTCAGTAACTTCGTCAGTGTTCTAAAATGACAGGTATGACTCATTTGGTTAAATTCTGCCCTCTTCTCTACAACACGTGAATTGTATCTGCAGTCATCCAAATCATTCACTTTTAAACGTTATGTATTATAGGAATAATTTGAAAAGTTCATTTGCACTAAGCGAGCTTGATATTGACATCTGTGTTTCATCTAAGTCATGATACAGGAGTCCTGTAGAATTCTGTGTCAATCGAAACTACTTCCAAGTGTTATGGCCTCTGATAAGCATATCCTGAGGTCAGTGGAACACAACAAAACGTCTTCAGCTTGTTTGACCCTTCTACACACACGCGTTTGAACTCTAGAATTCATAAAATGAAGACTTGAATGACTCCTTCTTTGTATATTCAAAAGTGATGTCCTTCCATATCATTTACTAATATGCCTATTTTGAATTGTCAGAGTGCGACAATCGGAGGCCAGGACGAAATTCTGTCAGATAACGGTGGTCTGAGGATAGCGTACAAGGTAAGTGTGACATTCTTTTCGTGATGCTAGCAATGTTTTCACTATGATAATGTCTCCCCTGATATCATTCACACTGACTGTCAACGTTTAGACCCTTTTTCACTTTGGTCACTACCAGATGGAGTTTGTAATCTGAATTCCAGAAGGCGAAATTCGTAGAGATTGAGACTCTCGCCGACCATGCACATGGTCCGGGGTTCGGTTCTCTGATAAATGTTCCACTATGATTCTGATCATCTCTTTAAATGAATCGCAGGAAATTAATTACTTAGTTTTAAAGTGAAGCATATTTGTCAAATATGCAGCATGTCTACAAGACTGTGAGGAGGCTTTTCACGTCGCCAACAGGAATAATAAAGTATGAGTTAGGCAGAAAACTAACATATCGGATGTGCCCCGAGAGATGCATTTCATTACCTCATCAACTAAATCAAAGAATCACATTATAGCCGCACTCATGACTTTTTTTTTTTAATAATAATAATTTACTTTATTCCAAAAACAGTACTTGTGATACAGAATGGAATTTTCAGCATTAATCACAATATTGCATCTAATTTCCTCAAATTATAAATAAAATTAATCACAAAGAAAATTTTTCTACATTTACAATACGGTTAATATAAAAATAAATAAATAAAAAATAAAAAACATGCAGCATATAAAATGGAAATAATAATAATGATAGCAGCTAAGGTAATGATAATAATAATAATACAAGTGAAAATTGCCGTCGGCTTGTTAGAATATTGAATATGATGTTCTCTTTACATGATATGGTGAGGGGAAAAACAAAAATTACAGCAGTCATAGAGATAAGTTGGTGTTTGCAGTTATGAAAGTGAGAACAAGAAGCAAAAGGACCATAAATATAATAGAAATAATAAAAGTAAAACTTGAAGGTATATAAGGATGGATGGAGAAGATTGTTTATTTACTAGATGAAAAAAGGTTAGTCAATTCTTGCCTGACGCTATTTTCATCACATAAAATACGTGCCAAGTATGGTTTCATAGAATTTTGATACTTAGACGTGCGAGCATACAGTTTTCTGAAGTTACTTCTCGTTCTACCTGAGGAGATGCAAGGTGAAAGCTGAGGGTGAAGTGGATGCTCCAAGTCAGACAAAATCCCTTTGGCAAATATACTGCACGAAGTCAAATGCCTATCGACTTCAATTGTTTTCGAATACATAGGCGTCAAACATTAAAGACCAAGACACCGTTTTCGATCAAGTTGTCTAAATCGACTGTTAGACACAAGTAGTCGGTTTTATCACCAAGTACTGGTAGGCAATGAACACTTACATTTGGTTAGTAAAACTTATTTAGACTAGTTTTCCTGAAAGTCTTAACTACCAGGTTACTGAATTTGTGAAGTGTGAAGATCATTTCGAATTCACTGTAGGATTAGCAGAAGAATTGTACCATGTCTTGAAGTGTCAATAGACAAATTATGATAATACTAGTGCATATTGATGTCTATTTGGACAGTGGCTTCCCCAGAATCACAAGGAAATGAAGTAGTTGTGGTAAATGCAAAGTATTTTAAACCGGTTTGAGTTCATCACCCATAGGCCATCACGCCGGTGTTGAAACAAAACTGCTAAGAATTCAAATGTTGACACACAGTCTTGGTTATTGACTTCTAGTCATAATGTTCTCTCTTGTAATTTATTCATTTCAGACACTTCGAAGACTGACGAGGAACCTTAGAAATGGTGCTGATGAAAACACGAACTCCTCTTTAGCTTCCGAAAAATCGTTTTTCTTCACTTTTGCTCAGGTGTGTGGCTTTGTTCAGTTTGCTCTCATATTTTATTCCAAAACTAGTAGACCACTGAGTATATTTTGTAGTAGGAAAAACTGACTCATGATAAGACACTGACAAATATCATTTTCATAATTATTCATACTTTGTGTTTCGAGTGGAAGACAAGGCTTCTAAAGCACATCCTTATTTCAGTTTGTTCTGTGTGGCCTCTTCTACCGGGAACCACGATTTGCCACAAACTCACTTCCTTTCCATATGATCCAGTTCATTTCATCCTTTAGTCATCTCTCAGCTCGCAACTCTCTACTGGGCTTCAACTTGATGTCCTTCCTGGTGTATGTTGTCATTCAACAATTTTTTCTGCATATGTACAATCAGTCATCATTCGCGTCTGCGTATTTGTCTGACAATAGGTTACACTGGTTCGTCCGCTGCCTGCTACAATTCTGTCTCGCCTACCCTTTCACGCCAGCGATCTGATTATCAGTATTCAGTGAAGTACGCAGGCGTTGATAGAAGCCTGCAGTAGCCTGTTTTAAATGGCTTCCATATTGTGCACACCGTCTTCGAATCATAGCGCATCCCTAACTTTAGTGACATTAGTGTTGAAAATTCGAATCTTCTTCCTTGTGGTGAGTGCAATATATTTCCACATTGATTTGAAGATATTGGAAAGTAAAGTAGATACATCCTTGTGCTTGGTAGTGCTCGATATTTTATGCAATATATGCTAAATATTTTGATCCACAATGTCAGTTGATAGATATTGGAAAGGAACTGTGATGCCAGATATGCCTTCTATGTTCACAGCTGTTTGGGTCTGTAACTGAAACGATAAGAATTCGACGCCTCAGATAAAACAAATACTAGTTGATTATTTGGTATTAGATGCATTGAAAGATTACTCAGGAGAATAGAACAGGTAAGGATAGAAACTACGTGATAAACTGTTATGCTTACAACTTAATCTTGCTCAGGGAATTAACTTATTTGCCTCAAGCCTATGTTAGCAGAATATGATAAGTCATTCAGATGCTACTCACTTGTGCGAAGAGATATGCATTAGACCGTTTTCCTAGATGTATATATGTATATGGTTTCATCAGCGCAACTTCATTCACAGGTGTGAATAAACCACTCACGGAATTTCATACTGAGTATCGAAACATGCAAAAGCATAACAAATTCTCATCTGTCGATACCAATTTAAACAGTTTAGACAACAGTTTCATAAACACCAGCAGTATACTTCTTTTCTTGAAATGCAGAACACTTCGAGTTATGTCAAGTGCGTGAATCTAGGAGATTTCACATTGTAGGAGATGCTGTAGTATCATCACATAAAACTGTTAAGCATACGGTGTTTTGGAGAGATCGTTGTGCTGACCCTGTGAAATATGCTTTACTTCTGATTCAGAAATTCAGCCAGTACGTCTTCACTCTGAAGGCTATTCTGTGTGGGCATTCTGATGTGACTCGCATTTCGAAACATAATCTCACCACTTTCTGTAATAGAGCGCCTAATGACTTTGAAATCAGTCAAAACTGAAGAGAAGTAAACTTAACCTACTTGGTCGTTTTATTTGAACTTATCTCGCAGCTTGCTGAAATCACTCGGCTTTCTAATCTTCTACAGACGGTGATTTCTCGAATTCATTCATTTGTGGCTTATTTTAAGTGCCTGTTTGCGTTCTTGTGGAACACTTTGTACTAATGTGTAACTTTCAACATACTATTTTCTCCGTGTTGAAAAGATGGGAAAGGATTGGAGCTTGTGGCACATAGTACGAAATTCCGTCAAAAAACAGTACGGTTCTGTTTTACTTGAAGATCCAATATAAGACAGAAATAAGAGGAAACTGTAAACTCTTTGCTATTTTTAAACATGCTATTATTACTGTTATTATAATCATGTCAGTCGGTTCTCTAAACAATTTTCACACTGAATACTACATGATTATCTGAGGTCTGCACGCCAACCTACTGAAGTTAAGAAACAATTCACCTTTAGTTGATCTTATTTTTTCCAGACATTTTGTGAAAAGTATAATGCAGATGGACTAATTAAACACATGAGTGACGCTGATCATGTGTTAGGTCAGTACAGGTAAGATTTTATTAGAAATGTGAAAGTTTTCACGTCATTCTTCAAACTAATCACTTTTATATAAAAGAGTGTACGGAATGATATTGACTAATGAAATTAACTAAGTTATTAAATATAGTAATCTAACCCTTGAAAATTAATCTGGGGTCCACTTGTGACCAATTCTATACAGGAAGTCAGCCTTTATTTCTAACAAGAAATCATAACCAACCGGGTCAAGCAAGCCAGGCAAGAGGACAGTTTTTCGCTGGTGACATTGACTGGTGGTTAAGCTGTTTATATTTCTTAAAGTGGTGAAAGTTGGAAGCCATTCCATTCCCATTCATATTCTCTCTTTCATCGAAAGAAGAAAAGACATCGGCTGACTGACTTCCCGAAGGCCTTAACAAGTCTGCTGTGTCATTTCGCCTTCCCGATGCGAGCGAAGAATAAGTGTGTTATTTGAATTTTTAGCTTTTTGAATATATTTTCTGTGCGTTGAGGTTTCTCTAGCGGTCTGATAGGTTTATTGGTGTGGGGTCGCTAGCCTCACGCCCAACCTTCCCTCTTTACTCGGGCTTAGAACCGGCTCAAAAACTATCATGCTAGTTAACTTGACGATGTTATCGTGATAATTGGATGATTAAAGCAATATGAAAAGGAGTAAATACAATACATCCTTGTGGATAGAAAACTGATCTAATCCAGTGATTTAAGCAGGCTGCCTAAGTATTGGGTTGCGATGATGTTTTACAGAGGTAAAGCTAACAATATCTATAAGTTTCTACATCTTTAACCGTATCAGTTCATACTTTAATTCACTATTTCTCGGTTATTTTATTGATTAGAGTAATCGGTGCCTTGTCAAATAGTGAAAATTTCGCAAGAGCATACAATTGTCCGGTGGACTCACCAATGAATCCAAGCGAAAAGTGTCAAGTGTGGTGAACCAACTGGTGCTCACAGTTCACAATGAACGCATATATATTCACTTTCTAATGGGAAAAGAAATCGAATTGTAATCCTTTCAAACTTTTCTTTATTTTAACCATAATATATTCATTGCAGTGAACTTGATTTATTGAATTACCTTTTTGTGACTAAGATATGATTTGTTACCTTTGCGCTGGTTTCTAGATAAATGAGCAGTGTCGTAAAGTGGATAACGGTCAAGAACTGAAGACATGATCAGTGTTTATTTGAAGGAATCGAGTGCCTATCTGAGGTAATAAACGAAAATACAGTCAAACGTCAAATGTAATACCTCTCTTTAATAGATAGTCGAATCAATCGCACACACTTTCCAGATATTTCTGAGTTTTATCCTGCCTTCAACTCATGAATCTCAACCAATCAAAAGCTGACTGTACAGCGAACATATCATAGGCCACATTTACAAATGAAACAGTCTGTGTTTGTCACCAGAATATCACGTCTTGGTTCATCTCATTGTTCAGGTCCCTTAATTAATGAAAAAGATGGTTAGTTTGTTATTCTCTGCCTTACCTTCACTAAGTCTCAACTCTTTTATAGCAGTCCTTTTCATATATCTCGAAACTGACAAAAATGTCTCAAGTGTCTTTATCATTTCTGAATTTACAAATTCTGTGTCCCACCAAAATACCAGCCATTTCATGTAGTCTCTTGGAGTAGTACTTGATAATTCTTTCATTAAGTGACCAACCAGTGCGCTAATATCAAGCCTGTCAAATAACTGCCCGTCACGTGGTGTTGTTTGTATTGTATTTGCTTACCTAACTATACTAGTTGTTGGATGATGTACACTAATTCTGACCTTAACCAAACTTCATTTAGATTACGGACATGAAATGTGCCTACATGATATTCACGATTAATATACTCATGAAGAACACTTTATCACAACGTGAAGTATGCATAGTATGATTAAAGTTTCCAAAACTTACTTTACAATCACGAGTGTAAATAGATGAAGATGATTTTGAAAACATTGAAACATTTTGTGATGATCGTTATAATGATAATAATGCTAATTTGATATTCGTCATGTTAAATTAACTTCAAGCTAATTGCATCAAATGCCAATATTTCTTAATTCGATTTCATTAGGAAAAGCCTACCAAGTCTATAATTACAACATATACTAATATATTTTTATGCAGCTATTTTAGACAGTAGAAAGTAATTTAAGTTTAATAATGAAGTAAATTCAGTCAGAAAACCAGTGAAAACAGGGGTGAAGTTGGCAGCTGTTTTATCCTCGTTTCAGACCCTTCAACACTACATACCCATAAGCCTATGGACAGTGGTAGAAATCAGCATCTTCAGGTAACAAGGGGAGCCCATCAGTTCTAACTCCTGCCAAGTGGAGACTCATAGCTCCACTGACAGCCAATGTCATCGTCGGCTAGTGTTCGTCCCCAAGCCTGACTGACTTGGCGGACTTCACTGGCCACGACTTTCTAAAGCTTCAGTTCTCGCAAACTGTAGGCATTTGGTGGGGTCATGGGTCCAGATTATTATCCTCAATGAATTTGCATATAAAGTTAATAGTTTCAGTGAGAAGGATATTAGTGAAGAGAGATGTTACATCTTGAGATATCATTTTCTTCCCGGATACATTAGCATCACTTATCAAAACGACGAATTCAAGTTAACCCAAAACGCTATATCGATAGGGATTATTTCTGACAGGCAGAATGATGTCTGCGAGCCATTTTGCGAAAGTGTGATATGGTAAATTTGTCATATTCAAGATTGAACGTAGTGGTACGTTCTCTTTGTGCACTTTCGGGAGACCATTCAATTGAGGAATTACAGAATCTGAGGGTCATATTTGCTCAAATAATTCAGAGTTAATAATCGATTAGTTCTTCGTCTTCAACATTTGTATTGTCCTACCTTCGATTTGCACAGTTTCATCTTTCTGGTTACTTTCTTTTGGAAATTGTTTCTTCATCTGATATGAAGGATAATATTTTACCAACATAGTCTTGGCTCAAATCAGTCGCTTGACATTTGGTTTAGTATTGAAACACTGATGACAGCTATTCAATACTGTAGACTTCAAATGTTTATATGATTTGTCTGACACTGCGACAAGATCATTTCTCTGATGAATCACTGCTTCAAACTGGATCCACGTCACTTAAATCTGTCGGGATGTCACAGAATTTCGGGCCCAACAACAAAGCCTGCAACTGTAGAGTAGTTAATGATATACTAGAGTAGGTGAAAACGTATTTCTCTGGTGTGGCAGGAAAACCTGAATAAGTGTCAGCTGCTTTACGACTATTTACAAGTTTTAGGTTTACACCTTCCCGACGTCTTCACGAAACTGAATCAATGCAGTCCATAAAGTTTTTCTGCTCACCTTCTGATAGTTAGAACTAAGCACGTTTTCTTAATGAAATGTTTCTTTCAATCTCTGGTTTTCAAGATTTCATTTAATCAGTCACATTGAGTGTGTGGCGTTTCAAACAGAGGTAGTTCGGGTGAATATGATTGCGAAGAAGACATTTGTAACTTTTATTTTTCCTTTCGAAGCCACTTCAAAGTAATTCCATCAATTATGTCACCCCTGCTATTACTGAATAATGGACTGCTATACATTTTTGGTAAATATAAATACAACTGTACAGCCTCTGAAGATGATTTTGTTGATAAAAACACTTTTTCGCTGAATTGTCTTTTATTTTCTTCATGATTCAATGGGCATTTACGGTAATTTATATCTCCCAAGTTTTCTAATACTCGACACAGCTTCATAGAGAGTTACATACTTGAGAGAAGTAAAACTAGCACAACATCTAATAGTGGTGTCTAAAATTTCTATTCGACAATGTATGAACTTCTTTTTACAGAAAATGCCACCTTTTCGTTTGGATGGTAGTATTACGGCAGTTGTGTTCCGTATAAATTAACAAATTCACATAAACGGGTACGATTTTGACTCTAACGGAGTTATGTGAAACTTTATATAAATACGTATGATGTATACATATATCTTAAAATGAAAAAAAGACTAGTTGTCTCTGGTCATAGGTAACTGAGTTCTATCTCCCTTGTTAAGTGTTATAATAAGGTGAGTAATAATGAACAAAGCCACCGACTATTAGATGAGAGGCAAATACAGTTTATGACGATATGAAGATACTTTGATTCCAATGGCAAGAAAATATGATAGGCAAGTATAGACCATATGACTGAATATTTGTGTAAGACAAACCTCCTGTTTTACTTTCAGTTATTTTCTCTTTTATCTATAAAATACTTCATCGATTGTTTGCGATGCTTTTGCGGTTTATCAGTTTATTTACTTTTTTGTTTTGTTATGTGCCCATCTGTCTAATGAGCTCAAACATTGGAATTTCTCGCTTAGTTCTAATTTGTGTGAGATTCTTTATCTGCTTATCTCGTTAGGCGTGTGTTAATTTCCTCTACGTGTAGATCAACATTCTACCTAGTTAAAGCTAGTGTTCACCTTTCTCTACAAGGTGTATTCTATAATTACACCTTGAAAGTAAAAATTCTCAATAGATAAACAGTTTTGGGTATGGATTATTTGGCAAGTCATAGTTGACAAAACTACTGCATACAATTATTCTCTTTGAGTACATCGATGGGTGGCGACTAGCAGTGGAATGCAGGACAATGAGAATTTTGTCCTATTTCGGAACCTTCATTTGGGGAATGTACCTGCACTCTCCAATGAGTGATGGTATTCCGACTGAGGCTCGGAACCTCGAGGCCTCCTTGACGAGCAATGTTAGCTGACATAGGATGGATCAGGTTGGCAAAGTTCTAGTGGTGGTGGTCAATCCAAACCATGGTATCGTCATTCAATGAAATCCGACAAGGTTTAGTTCAATCCAAACATGTAGGAATGTAAGTGTTTTCTTCTCGAGTGTTTGGCGATCTCCGGATGGTGAGAATCAATGAATGCTGGAGAGAGGCGGTTGGTGATATGACTGAAAGCCGTTCTCAATGATGGAGGAGATGCATCCACTCTTTGATATTTGTCTTGCCCAATAAAACTCTACTGTTCTTCCATATAACTTCTATTTTTTCCTCAATCACATTTCTTATTTATTGTCCCTCTTTTGTATTTCACCATAATTTCTTATCATTCTTTGTGTGCTACTTGAATTTCGATTATTAAACCTATCAACAGTTTAAGAGCTTTGACCGCAGTGCCATAGTTTGAAAGCCAATGTGAGCGAAGTCGTTTAGACGTTAGCGCTTTGGTAGTTGAAACTATGGGTACTGGATGTGAGCCTCGGTGTTTACAGTAGCAGTCACTGAGTAATGCTGCTTCATCCAGTTGAAGAGTTTAAAATATGAAGAAATAAGAGTACAAGAGTGAGAGTACAAGAGAGGAGAAAGAAGAGCACTTCAAGTTATATTATCCGACATCATCGAAGCATCTGCACGAGGAGTTGAAATGTTTATCTGAAGACCATCACTTCAGTCCACTCAAACAACGGGAATGTGCAAACTGAATCAAGCCACAATTTTTGTTTCACACTAAGTCACGCAACACGTCTATAACCCTTGAAATGAATAATACCACCTATAAGTACATTTTAATGTTAATTCTTAGTTTGACGAATGCGTAGCTTAACATATAAAATATATGTTTAATGACATAAACGCAATATAACTGAAATCCCGACGCAATTGATGACCAATTGTGTATCATTCTACGGCGTACATTGCTCCCCTCTACAGTCGAATGTTTGCGGTTTGATTATGAACCCTTAGAAGTTTATGCGTTGTCAGATGGCAAGACCAATAAGAAATTTTATTTATAATACTGCACTCAAAGTACGCTGATAGGTAAACGAGAGATAATGATATTGTATGAGTAGAACTTAACACAGATAAAAGCAGTGAGGGGCAGTAGATGAAACTTAGTTACCAAAGTTGTGGAAAAGAGGGAATTTCGGTCAATCACTTCAAAGGGCTCCTGAGTTCACCAATCCCTACAACTTATTGAAACTGATCATCAACCGACCCTGGACT